ATTTAAGTGAATCCTCAGAAATAGAATGAGCAGGTACAAAGATTAAGTGTATCTCAGGATGTTTCTAGCACTCTCAGCTATCAGGATGCCCTCTGTGGCTTGTAGCCAAAATTGACAAAAAGTTGTTTTCTGTAAGAAGTTTTAATTGACCTTTTACCTTGGTGGAATTCACTGAATTGCAAAATATTCAAATGCAAAGAACTTTGTTAGTCAGAATAACACAGGCAGGAGATCCTGCATCATTCCAAACAATGATGCCAGCCAGCTTTGTTATCATTCTCTTCCACAGGATACAATTCTCTTCCATAGGATAAGATTTTCACATTAACCAAGCTCCTAACTGATGGCAGTTAAATGATATTATGGCTTATTTTTGCTTAACAAAATATGAGAGCCAAGCTATATGGCTTAACATGATGGGTGAACCTGGCTGTTATGACTCCATTAATAAATCATTGTTAAAAGTTGTGATTTAATAGCATGTTATGAATCCGACATTGTCTGATACGTATGTATTTTGTGTGGCAGTTCTTCAAAAAATGAATTCAAGGCCCCACATTTTCAATTCCTTCTAACTGAACAAGATTATTGGACTGATATCTACCTGCTTGCCATCCATCACGCACTTATTTTATTTGTTCTTCCAGTCTCTTCAACTTCCTATATGCCTTCCATCCTTCTTACTGCTATTCTATCCCTTTCAGGAGGTTCCACGGATTTGTTGACTGCTTAACTGCCTCTGGAAGATTTTTTGCAAATTCAGTGCAATAGCTATTCATAAACCAGTTCCTTAATCAAACCTGGCTTATAGAAGTATGATGTATCTATAACAAACAGGGAAAACACATTTTCCCATTCTCATGATACTTAAACCTTCATTTCCCAATATAAACTCATTAGCTCATACTCTATTCTTTCAGATCTATTACAATATAGCTAGTGGTTCAAATTTTTTTTACTACTGGTTCTATGGGCTTGGCTTGGTGGGTCTGGCTTGGTAGACATGGCAGGGGAAGGATACTGTAAAATCTCCATTCCCACCCCACTCCTGGGGGAAAGTTACTGCAAAATCCCATTCCCACCCCACTAACCTGCTTTCCAGCTCCGTTCTCCTGTACAGGGCAACAAAAGAAGACCCAGCCAATCAGCTGGGACTCGGTAGGCAGAGAATAGATGGGGGTGGGGCCAGTCAGAGGTGGTATTTGCCAGTTTTCCAAACTACTCAAAATTTCCGCTACCAGTTCTCCAGAACTGGTCAGAACCTGCTGAATACCACATCTGAATATAGCCTTCCTTGTTTTCTTAATTTCATAAATATACAACATAAAATTTTATTTCATTCATTAATTCATGCTGATTATTATTTATTCTTCTTAGGCTCCAATGCACAGTGTTCCATGTGCCACGATCAGATTCATTGACTTCTGTTGTTTATTATGGCTTTGGTCAATTATGGCTTTGACATATTTTTAGTAATAAAGATGTATATTAACTTACAGCCTTAATTGTACCCATATTGGCTATTCTGCTCTCTGCTAACAGTAAGGATAGTATTTGTTAGTTTGGCACAATTTGGCCATGATGGCACTTCTGCCTCCATTTCTTATCTCTTCTTTGGTACCATGTCAAACAATGATGGCATATTTTGGATTGTTTCTCATAAAATAAAAAAATAAATTTATTCTTTTAATTTAGGTTTAAAGTGATTTGTGAATTTTTCATTACATTATTAGGCATAACCAGGCTATTGTGGATTGTTCAACTAACAGGGATAAAAACATCTTTTTATATGTAAATCAAAGCTGTCCATTTCTTGGTGTTGACGCTCTGTTATTTGAGACATAGGTAAGGAAATGCAGTATAGCAGAGGAAACTGGTTGAAAGATAACAGTAATAAGTTATTTATGCTCGTGTTATTTGGTCATGTGGGCAAATTCTGGGAAAATACATCTAAGTGGTAAGGGAGTTGGATGACATCCTATCAAGCATCAAGTTGATGTATGGTATATACTTGAGTAGGGCCTGTATATAGTGCTAAATAAAATCCCAAGGTTGGCACTAATCATGTGGTTAAACCCAGTTTTCACCATATACAACTTCTGTAAATTGGAACAATCCCAAAAGCATTCAAAATATTACCACAGCTATTTCTGATTATTTTATTTTTAGTGTGAATATTTTATATACATATAGAAACAAACATGGACTCAATTCCCCAGAGTTATGAGACCAACACAGAAAACACTTCTAGACATCCTCTTGAAGAACAGAAAAATGGTCCAATCAAAGGTAAGCACAGGCATATTTTATGAAATGTGTGTCTGTGGGTGTTCCTTTCTTGGGAATTGCTGTTTCTGTTGTTCACTTTTTTATAGAGAATCCAATAAGGCCACTTCCAAATTACTGATTTCCAGCATTTTCTGTTCTGTGGTTTCTTTCAACCTGATCTCCAATTACTTTTCCTTTTATTAATAAGAGTTTAAGTACTAGCCTAGTTACTTCCAAAGTGTTGTGAGTATAGTTGCAAGCATGCATTTTGGAGGACGATCTTTCTGCGCATTTTTTCCCCTCAGTAAAGGAAATAATAGGATCAAATTTAGTGGAAATCATCTGTGAACTGTTTTGGAAGATTGTGGGTGCTTCCTTAAATGGTGTGTGGTTTTTGTCTAAGACATTTAACCGGAGCAGAGAAAGCACAGAACATATGTGAAACCATTGCCCTTTTGGACATTTACATGTAGAGAGGGAGAGGGAATCTCAGCCTGTGTCCTTTCTGGATGTTAACTGTTAGATCGGGTACGAAAGAGACGCGAGACCAGTGTACTTCAAGCTCTTTATTTCATGTATAGATCTGTACAAGATCTTGGAGCCGCGGCAGCCCTTCATATAGGGATTGCTCGCGACTTGCCAGCCAATGACAGGTCTTTGAATCTCCCGCGATCGGCTCGGCCAATCGCGGTTGATTCTTAGCGGACCAATCACTGTCGTTCAGTGGACCAATCACAATGTCATTTGTGTGGACCAATCAGAAATTAGTATTTGGAGTATGTTAATACAGAACATTAACCTTGTCATTCATCTCTAACTGCTCCCACCAGGGTAGGTGCTGATGCTAGAACTTCCTGCTTAATTGAATCTTTGTAATTACTAAAGAAAAGGAAGTTGAATTATACAATGTGGAAAATGAATAAAAAAAGTCTTTATTTAGCCTTCCCTCACTTTCAAAGTCATGCAACTTATAATGACTTTTTTTCCCCATCACCACCCCTTTATAAAAAAAACCAACTTATATCTTGCTCCTTTTGCTTCTTTCTTGAAGAATGCTGGCCTGAATGCTTGCCAAGTATTACAGAAGAAAGGGAAGAACAATCAATAGAAGAGAACATTCCTTTGTCTCCCTCGGGATTAGGGACAAGTGTGAAGACTCAAATTGTAGATGGCAGGTGAGAGCTTATGCACAAATCTTTTTATGCACAGGTATAAAATGGAGCTATGATTTAAACTGTGTTATGCATGCTCTTGTCAAAGAAAAAGATGAAGAAGTTGTCCTTTAAGAGCTAGGAGGCCCTGCTGCTATCTTTGCAACTGTTATAAGTAGAGTTGGCAGAATTGCATCTAAAGCATGGAAATACTTAATTTTATGTTAAAAGTTTTTCCATGTACAACACCATAGGTTATTCAAATGCAGACCTAATGTATCGCTCTTGCCCTTTTACTGCCTGATACAACTGGTTGTATGCCACTCAGAGTCATTTTGTGGGAGATGGGTAGCCATATAAAATATACTAAATGAATGAATGAAGTGGGAGGAATAAAATAAGCTTGTTTTCTGAAACTTACTATAAAGCATGGGTGGGGAATGTCTTGTCTATAGGCATAATTTGGTCTACCAGGTGAGCTTTTCTCTTCCCTGAGGCCTTTTTGGACCTCCTGTCTGGAAACAGTTGGGAGAGAAGATGGCAGAGAAGAGCACGACATGCCTGCAATTAATTGGGAAACAAAAAATTGCCCCTTTATTTTGTTCAGATATGCTTTGTTGTTCCTGTCTTAGATCAATCAGACCTGGAGTTGGAAAAAGACAGAAAAACATGGAAAAATCCTTTGAAGATCTGAAAGTAGATACTTCAAGAATTGAGACGCAATACCAGGTACCATGAGCTAGGTGAAAAACAATGCTGTGGATAATTTAATAGTGGAAAATGAATTGTGTTTTCTTAATTGTTGTAGAAAAATATTGTTTGCTTTACCAAAATTTCTTATATCTCGCTGCTGAACAAATAATAATTTTCCAGCTTATTGACCATCTGTACTACTATAAAATATTTTTTTTTATTTTTTTTATTTATATGCCACCCATCTCACTATCCAAAGTGACCTGCATTTCTTATTATACAAGAGAGTTTTAATGGATCCCTGAAATTAAGGTCTTTACAAAACAAGAAAAGAAGAGGAAACGATCTCTCTATAGAATGTTAAGCATATTGATTAAGAGAGGTAGAAGCAAGATGCAGTGGGACTTCAGCTGAAAATCACTAGCTATAGGAATAGAGAAAGAAAAAAAATGCAGAATTATTTTGTTGGATATTAAACAGCAAACACGGAAATGGATGAAAAGAACTAAACAAGGAGCTGATGGCTGAGTAAATGGGATTTAAAATAAAAGCACTGAATTCCAGAAGGATTATTTGATAAATATGTATGGGAGTAGCATTGTTAATGAAGAAGAATATATAATGGAAACAAATGCTAGTGTCAAAGAAAAAAGGATGGAAAGGAGATAGTAAATGCTGTGAGAATGATGAAAAATTGTGAGACTTTAGATACAGATGGTATAATGTTTAAATACACGTGGTTTAATTATGAAGCGATTGTGTGTAGTTTATGTACAAATATAAGCAGCAGTAAAGGTAATAAGAATAAATGCAAAAAACCTCACAGGATAAGTCTAGTAAGGATACCTGGGAAAGGCAAACCTTAAAGGTTTTAAGTGGAGGCAATTAGCAAAATCTGGGGAATGCAGTGAGACTTTATTCCATGTGGGCAATGTGCCAGCCAGATGCTTATTCTTCAAAATTACATTGAGAATTTTATGAATATGAGAAAAACCGTGAAGAGTGTGTAGACTTGAAGTTGTAGGCAAATGTTAGATTGCAAGGAGCAACAAGAAGTGTGGACCTGAAAATCATCAGTATCTAAGATTAATATTTGACCCTTTGTAGAATGTCTACTAATGATAGAAAAATCAGTGGGAACATTTTAAGACACAAATGCTGGTGGCAAGGTGGCACTGTAAGAAATGATTCTGGAGAAGCTGAAAATGGTAGCCTAGAAGAGATTGCTTTTGCTCACTTTGGTATATGTAAATGAATATTGAGTAATTGTAGGAGAAATATTTTAAAAACAAGCTGATGCGTTCTAAATGGGTACTTAAGATATATGTGATAAAGCAAGGAGAGGCTCAAGAATGAATGGCTACTGAAACAACATGGATTGAGTGCAAGTGCATGATTAGTATGAAAGAAGTATGCTCAGTTAATTTGATCATATAATTAGAATGAATATGAATCAAATTACAGAAGAATAAGTGAATAAGTGAAGAATAAGAGGAAGGGGAAAAATTGGAAAGAGTCATAGTTGGATGGCACTGATGAGATCCCCCCCAAAAAGAGAGGTGAGAAATTCAAAGAACAGAATCAGTGGATGGGTATGATGGAAGCAAGAATGGCTTGGCAAGACAGAAAAGTATGGAGGGACATTATGAATGCTCAGAGTTAGCTAAATTTTTGTTTCCTTTCTACTCTCAAATCTTTAATTTCTTTGATTTAATGTTTGTTATTCCATTTTCTGTCATTTGCATTATGCTGGATACTCAGAAAGAGACTACGTGATGTGCACATGTTTGTCATTTGCTTTCAGAGAAGAAAATAAGAAAGGGAAAAATATGTGGGCATTGAATAGCAACCTATATCTACAAACTCAAAGTTAACCGCACCAAACTTGATTGCAGGAAATACGACTTCAGCAATAGAGTGGTCAATGTCTGGAATACTCTACCCGACTCTGTAGTTTCTTCCCCAAACCCCAAAAACTTTAACCTTAGACTGTCTACTATTGACCTCACCCCTTTCCTAAGAGGTCTGTAGGGGGCGTGCATAAGTGCACCAACGTGCCTACTGTCCCTGTCCTATTGTTTCTCTTATTCTTCTTTTATTTTTCTTATATGTACCCATTTCATGTATTCACAACTATGTATACACTTATACTTATTATCTTGTAAACAATTGGCAAATCAAATAAATAAAAAATAAATAAATAAATAAAATAAAAATAGAGGTAAAATTTTATGTGCAAAACATAGATGAATAAATGAAAAGGAGATGAGCTTCTGGAATCAGATTTTCTCTCATTAAGATTGCATGCTTTAATAATGATTAGTACTAGCTAAAATGTTGGCTTATCTATCATTACATTATATATTTTGTCATATTTCTTGCAGGATTCCAATGAGACAGAGATGACGGATCCAAACTCATTTCTGGAATATCCAGAAGGCATTGTGAAGTGTGAAAAAAATAGAGAAAGTCTTGCCAGGAGTCCTACCAAACTGCTTGGGAGAGTCAGTTTTAATCAGCATAATCTCTCATCTCCTGATCAGTGGAAAATAGGAAAACAACTGGGAAAATGCTTGCAATTAGAAAGGAAGGTTATGTTCCCAGATGACAAAAGTAGAAATTGTTTTATTTCCAATGGTGTTGTAAAATGTCAGCATAATAAAGGTGAATCATGGTCAGAAAGCAGAAAAGAAAGTAACTCTGATTGTGATGATGAAGAGATGGTAGGTGAAAAAGAATCTGAACTATCATTTAATTGGTCCAAACATTCACAGCAGTGGCATGAACAACTAAGTGACGTTAAGACACAAGTGGATGGAAAAAATGACTCTTCTTCTTCTGATTCCAAAGAACATTCTGGTATATTTTTCAGTGGATCCACCATTTCTAAGATTCCAATATGGCTTATGGAAGGTTTAGATGATGATGTATCACAGGTAACAGGAAAGTCTTCACTAGATGTTTCTGACTTTCAGAACATAGAATGGGAACAGCCCAATCCAGAGGACCATAGTTCCAAATTCCAGATTATTCAAGGTACACAAAGGATTGGGCAGTGCAAAAATAAACTTAATGTTGAAGCAGATGAATGTTCAGATATCAAATTAGAAAGGAACCCTGGGTTTAAGAAAATCAATGATAAAATCATAAATGTTACAAGTAAACCAGAGAAAAAACAAGAGATGACACTTGCTAAATTACAAATGAAGTACCACAACAATGCAAACCCTGGAAAGAGATGGAATGGAAAATCTTCTTCAAGCGATTCATTCTGCATATTTACTGACAACGATTTGCCTTGTCCTCCCTATCTCACAAGGTGTGGGCTCCGTAGAGCATCCAGCAGAGGCAAGGATGGGGAACTCTCTGATGCCGATTATGCCACAGATGAGCCCAGTGAAGCTGAAGATTATTTCTTAAAAAGCTGTGGAAAATCGTTTCCCAAGAAACTCAGTGCTCAGGAACTCATGAGCCAAAAGGAAACCTCGCAGACGACAAATAGCAGTAGTAGTGGCAGTGAATCCAGTCTCGGAGATGGCTGCTTGAAATATGAAAAGCCTTTCATGGCATCTCCTTTTCATCCCCAGGAAGCCATAAGAGATCGACGAGAGCCTGAAGTACTGAGCAAGAGTACTGCAAACAATTATGGCGGAGAACTAAATTGGCCGGCTCTTTCTCTGAGAAATGATCTTGTGGCTTGCCTCTTCCCTGTTTTCAAGAACAAAGCAAATCCAGAACATAGGAAAGGCAGTCAGGGTAATTTGAAAAATATATGCTCTACAATGCAGTCATCCTATAGGAGGCTGGCTAGGGAATTCTGGGAGCTGAAGTTTGCACAGAACAAAGTTGCTGAAGTTAAGACTTTATAATGAGGTTTAAGGTTGGTAGAAGGTTATTGAACTAGGCTGCCACCATTCAGGCTGAGCTTTCTAACATACCCTCCTCTAATCTTGGCCTTTTTCTCAATGTTTACTTTCAGCTTAGCTTTAGGAAAACTAAGGGTGGACAGGTGAATTTTGAATCTTCTCATCCCAAAGGACAAGAGGACAGAGGACAGAACTTAGAGGATCTAAGGCTAATCCCAGATTCACAAGGGCATGTCCAGTCTAGTACTTGACAAAGGTTTTAATGGAAAATTCCAGTGTTCAATCTCTGAATAAAGAGATGAAGCCAAATCTCTTGGTAAAAAAAGGAGTTTGTTAGACATAAGAGGAAAGAAGGAAAAATCAATAATAAGACATGTACAAAACTTCCAATAAATCAGTACAGTTAGACTAACTTAACTAGTTACTTACTGTCTTCTTGAATAAGAGGTTTCAGCACATGTTCAGAGTTCACTGCAGAAGATAAAGTAGGAGGTCATCTGATTGGATGTTACCAGGGAGTTTCTTCTTGCTGTTATCTTTTCCTTGTGCATTATTCTTATCTTTATATAAGGCAGAGAGTAATTAAAAGCTAGACTTTTTGGATATGCAACCTGTAACTTTGCCCAGGGAATGCACCAACTCTGAGGAGTCCAGTCTAGTAACTAAACTGCCTTCCTGATGACCCTTAAAGCAGTGATGAAAATATATTCTGATTTTCATCAAGCGCATAAAAGGGATTATACAAAAGAGGACTTTAAAAAAAATACACAGGAGCTGAATTCCATCTGCTTAGATCTTCCAGCATAATGTAATTTTAATGTGCTCCATTGTGTGTCATACCACAGTATAGGGATTTGTTGTGGATGCTTTAAGAGATGCAGCTGTGGAAGCACTAATTCTTTGTAGCTTTTATTCTATTAACCACTGAGGACAAGAGGAGAAACAAAAAAAGAATTCTCTTGGTTTCTCTCTTTGTCTTTTTTTTTTCCATTGTAAGCCTGATAACAAAAGGCTCCCTTTTTGAATTGTTTTTACAGGAAAAAAAATAAAGTTGTTTCCATCCTTTCTTCTCCCCACTATGAAGTGAGGGGAAGATCTCAGAGAGGCAGTCCTTCTGTCTAAGCATATAACACCCTTAATAAACAGATTAAACTTTTCAGAGCTTAAGCACTGGACCTTTTTGCTGATTTTCGCTGAGTTTGGTACGCCTCATCTATACTCTGTTAGATCCATTGAATAAACTGAAGAATTAAGATTAAGCTAATTCTCATGTTGCCTTCCATCATTTTAATAAAGCTGTGATAAGAAGAACCATCAAAATAACATTTAGACCACCATTCCTCTGAAAGTTAATTCAAAATTGGGTGATTTCATGGAACTGCGATTTTGTGGCAGGGTGGGAAATTGGGGGAGTGAAGATGAATTGATTATGCACATTACATATGATTGTGTGAGTTGGACAATTTCTTGTTTAGTGGTTGTTAAAATCATGATGGAATTTGATGAGAGATTCTATGGCACGGTTCTATGACAGAGGTGAACACTAGATGGCATTAAAGAGATACAGAAATCAAGCTGTCACCCCCTCTACTTTCCTCTTTTTTTTCAACCTAGTTTTGATATTCTTAATACGGATACAACTTGCCAGTACCACTGAAAGTGCCTAAGCCTGTCAGGATGGCTTGTGTCTGCATGCCCTAATACAACTTCAGTTCTTCTTTCTAGAATGCAATCACCTGCTCTACAACTGATGACTTATGGGCTCCACCTGAGAAATTTGTTTTGGAGCTCAGAGAGCTTTATTTTCCCCCCCCCCCCCCCCGCCGCCAATTGAAACCATAAATCACATGTGGGCTTAATATGTTATATGTACCAAACCAGAAGGTCAAAGTTTTCCCCGCCACGTAATATCTTTTGGTCATTCTCATCCAGTGTTTCTCACCTTTAACAGATGTGGACTTCAACTCCCCAAATTCCCCAGCCAGCATGGGGAATTGAAAAGGGTCTTATGATACTTCTATTACCTTACTTGACTATGTTGTTAATACACAGTAATATAATCACAAGAATTTCTTTCTAGAGCAAGCTCCTAAGAGGCAAATGGCCAAGCCAGAAGAACACAAATGGGAGGATCCTGTCAGTCACAGAGAAACCTCTCTCTTAGCTCAAATGAAAGATGAGCAAGCAAAAGCAATGGATTTTCTCAGGTAAGGAAATTAGGAAGATTTATTTAGGATAAAAGTATAAATCTTATGTATCTCTCTCTGTGTGTATGTGTGTGTATATATATATGTGTGTGTGTGTGTGTGTGTGTGTGTATGTATATATATTTGTTTTATTAAGTTTTCGTGGGTACTTACATGTATGGTATTCAGCTTTGTTCGGGTATTTTCCCACATCATTGTAGTTGTGCTTTTAAAGTTGTAGCAACGTTTTAGCAGAATCTCATCTGCCATCATCAGGCTTCTGTATTGGGTTCGTCTGTGAGTCAGACTTTTACAGTTGTTTTAGTTTTAAATTTGGGGCTAGCCTACTGCTATGCCAGAATGGTTTTTTCTTCATCCTGATTAGTTGGGAGTCTTGGTCTGTGTTTATTGGTCTTGGAGTTTGCTGTGTTCTGCTTGATTGGCGTTTCTAATATCTTCTGTCTGTTTTGTGGCTTTTTTTTGTGTGTGTGTGTGTCTTGATTGGCTGGCAACATTGTGTTCCTGTATTGGAGGCTATTAGTGCAGCTTGGCTCCGAGTAAATGGACGGCTATCATTTGTTAGGAAGCTAGGTTTTGACACAGCAGTTAGGCTAGCCCCAAATTTAAAACTGAAACAACTGTAAAAGTCTGACTCACAGACGAACACAATACAGAAGCCTGATGATGGCAGATGAGATTCTGCCGAAACGTTGCTACATTTGCATCTTTATATTTATAAATTTATAAAAGAGACTAGCTCGATACCCGTGCTTCACTACAAAACTGTGTGGTTGGGCTTAGTTTTTGGGGAGGAAAATAAGAAAAAATATTCTGCCTCTGCCTAGCAGCATCCATCGGTATTCATCTGGCTAGGGTCCTGTCAGTGTGTGAGGTTGTTTGGAAACTGAAACAGTATTTGCAGTGTGAGCAAGAAGGAGACAGCAAGGAGCCTGGGCGTGGCTTAGCTCAACTGATCTGTACTAAAGCTGCTTGGTGCTGTGAAACTAAAACTGAATGAAACTCCTCTGCTTGTGTTTTGCATTTGGAACAGATTTATTTTCAGGTGGGGAGGAGGAGTAGAACTCCTTAGCATCAGACCATGTTAGTAGTAATATATGAAATACTAATGCTCTGATGGTCATTTCGAAAAATCCTTTCTTAGTGAGTACCTAGAGGCCAAGGGGGACATATATGCCAAATTTCAAGTTTGTAGGCTTTACGGTTCTGGAGATTTTGTGATGATGCGTGAGTAGTATTTCGCTTTTATAGAGAGAGAGATTGGACAACCATTTGTGTGAAATGGTATACCTGAGCATCTCCTGCTTGAGCAGAGTTGAACTAGAAGACACTCAAGGTCCCTTCCAACTCTGTTATTCTGTTACTTGTTCTAGCAAGGAAAAATAAAAACATACGGGTGGAAACAACAAAGAATAAGAGAAAAGGTTAAAAATTGTACAACATCCCATATTTGCACTTTGGACTGGAATCTCGTGAGACCTATTTCTAACTCTGAAATTAGTATTTGAAATATTTATCTCTTTGCATGTTGGTTGTTAAGCAAATGGATCAGATGGCAAGGGTTGAAAACAGGAGGTGTATGCTGAGAACAATAGAAGAATTTAAGGTGAGATTAAGTATGTGAAATCTGAGCCACATGTCCTTATGATTTACTTACCAGAGTAGGGAGAGATAAAGGCAGATATCTTTAACATTAAACAAAAACAAGAAGAAATTGCTGGATTGTATTTCTCCTCCTGGATCCCAAGAATGTAATATGAGGCCTATTTAAATGGTTTTTTTAATCATTTCCTGAAAGTCAACTAATCTAGAATGATGGGTTCGAACAGACTGACAACTGCAAATATGGAGTCATTTCAGAATTATTGTTTAGATATCTTTAGGCTGTGAACTGAGCATTTACGGTCTCCCATTTAGAAAGCTAGCTATCCAGCAGGATCTATAATTCAGAGAGAGAAAACATTGTTGGTACTTAGACTGTTCCTGATTCACTTCTTGGTATCTCCTAGAAAAAATCTGAAAGCAGTTGATTCGATCCTTATTTAGACCCCACAAAAACCATTTCCAGTGTGCATAAAAATAACAGTATCAGAGTTGGAGGAGACTTTGGAGGTCATCTAGTCCAACCCCCTGCTCTTGCAAGAGAGACCTATACTATTTCTGATAAATGGCTGACCAATCTCTTCTTAAAAGCCTCCAATGATGAGGCACACACATCTTCCAAAAACAATTTCTTCCGTTGTTTAATTGTTCTCGCAGTTAAAAATGTTCTCCTTAGTTCTAGGTTGTTTCTGTCCTTGGTTAGTTTCCATCCGTTGTTTCTTGTCCTGCCTACAGGTGCTTTGGTAAATAAGTTGGTCCTTGTGGTAGCATAGGTGGCCAAAGATTGGATATATTAATTTCATACATTGCTTTTGTGATATGCCAATCCCCAAATTTATCTGAGTTGTTGATCAAGGCCAAATTAAATGTCAAGGCAAGCACGAATGTCCAAATTATTGTTTGTATTGTTGATATGCAGCTTTGTCTCTGATGGAAGAGAATATATGTAGATCAAGGAACTGTGGGTCCTGGGTGTTCTCTGAATGTGGTTGTTTTCTTGCAGACGTTTCATTAGGTAAAATGTAGGTAATAAACTAGGTAATATCAATGCCAAAAGGGAGTGAGACTGGTTCTCATTTTATATACTAATGGCTTGATCTGTCAATGTGGGTGAGAGTGATCTTGGTGGTTCTTTGATTAGACTATTGTTTACTGTTAGCTTGTTTGTCTGACTTGGTAGTTTTTTAATTGGAGTATGGTTTACTTCTTGATTGTTGGTCCAGTGTTAATCTAGTGTTTTTCTCTGCTTACCGGGTATTGAATGCTACTGAGGAAGTGTTTGGTTCTTTTTGTTTCCTTTTTGGCTTTTAGTTGTATATTTTGTAGATTTATTTTTTAAATGATTGCGGGTAGATGTTGTTTATGTGTGAATGTTGATGGTCGATTTGTCTGAGCTTTGCCTGTCTTTCTGCGTATACCTGATTACAATATCAGTGGATGGTGATTGGACATTTAAATGTTCTTCTTGGAACTTTGTTTTAAAATCAAAGGGGATCTGATAGCTTTCTGCCCTTATATCTTTTTTTTTTCTTGAGTTTTATTTTGCATGGATGATAAAGCTTCTGGGGAAGTCCCCGTCACTGCTGATCCTGTTTGTTCAAAATCCAGCCATCCACAATTAAAGGAGGGAGGGAGGGAACCACTAGAGAATGCTTGTCTTCCTGGTCATATGATATTCCTACTTCTAGGGTTAGGGTATGTTTTTTTTTTCCCCCAGCAGAAGACAAATCAGTCAGTATGATGCTATGCAGGCTCAGCCATCACAGCTCCTGAAAGAATTTAAGAGTCAAGTAATTTTGGAACTTGCCAGAGAAACACCAGAATGTCAGACGCCCGTGCCAGCTATTAAAAAAGAGGAAGAGTCTGAACATATAAGAGTAGGTAACATCTTTTTGGTTGTAACTATATTGGAATCCTCAGTTCACTTTTTCAAATGAGAATATAGAACAGATAATTGGGGAATTTCCTTGATATGATGGCAGTTTGGTTTAAAGGAGAAAAGCAAAATGACTTGAGAGGAAAATATGGCCCCCAAGGCTAATGAGTTTGTTTATTTTTTAAAAATAAAAGTATTATGTAAAATTCTGGATGCTATTACCACTAGAGAACTCCTTAAGATGTGTTTGCCTATGTGTGTATTTGGAGTGTATTTAAAGAGACCTCCTCTGCTTCCTATTTTCTCTATTCTCCCTAAACCATTTTCTTAAGGTGCCATTGTTATCTCCAACTAGAATTGAAATGGCATAATCCGTGAATGAAATGTGAACATATGTGTGTTACATATCTATCTGCATATGTGTTACATATCTATCTGCATATAGAAAAAAAACTGTTTGTTAAAGAATATCTAAAATCAGATATCTTATTGGACTGGCAAATCATTACTAAGTCAGTTAATCTTATCTGCTTGGCTTATAGGCCAGTACTGTCTGATAGGAGATCTTTACAAGTGCCAAAAATAATGACTGAAACCACCATCATATATTCTGAGATTTTGGAAACAGTTCCTTCCAGATTTTGTCAAGATTTGTATTCAAAATCTATTGGAATTTTGTGTACTGCATGTGTATGGCTATGTATGCCTCTTAGAAGTTAGCTGGAATTTCACCAGGATATTGATTAATATTGATTTCTCTGTCGTCTGGCATTTTATAATTATTTATATGCATACATGCAGTGATCTGATGGAGAAGGTAATGAGGAACAGCCAAGTAATCTTCAAAGAGATCTATTTATCAGATTTTTTTCCTCTTACTGTTCTCTATTTGGTGGGGAAAGATAGTAAACCATTGCATTTTCAAAAGAATTTCCTTGCCAGATCTTGGGGTAAAGTTGGTTTTTGATTCCAACCTTCCATCATTCCAGTTGGCATCATCTTTAATATGAGTCCCTGCTGATTAGGTAAGATGATAGAATTTATATTCCAATTCCTCTGATAGATAAAAGGTTGGAATTCATTGGCCTTATTGCAATAATTATCATTGGAAGACCTGAAGGTCCAGGTTAGGGACAGATCATCTTGGAGAAGTCTTGTCTATATGGTTTCCAAGAGTTGACACTGACTTTTGGCACATAATCAATTGCAATAATTACAAATTGGCAAGCTCTCAAGTTTCCATTTTTCTCTCTGTTTTGTTACTCAACTCTTTTTGCATCTATTGACTTGGTGGATGGGGTGGTGGTTTAAAATATCCTTTAGGAGCCTGCCTAATCTCTCCCAGGTTGACACCTCCCTGGTATGCTCATCCTGTATGGATAAAGACTAAGATCTAATGTAAATACTTAGTCTTTCATCAGAAACGGACTCATATCTATTTTTCTTCTTGAAAACAATCTCTGCTTTCTAATAACAGATGTTGAAGAAGCAAATTGCAGGCCTACAGGAGGAGTTCAGGAGAAACAAAATCCACTGGCAAGCTGCCCACAGCAGGCTAAGGAGTCAAGTGGAAGCACTGACCAAACAGAACCTGGATCTCCAGGATGAGCTTGAAATGTCTGAGCATCAGAAGATGGAAACCCAGAGAAATCATGGAGCAGTGGATTTTATTAACAGAAGATCAGAAACACCGGTACTATAAGCAAGACTTTTATTTGAGTTTCATGCCTTCCCTTCCCCATGGTTGCTTCAGAGTAAAGACTTGCAAAACATTCTATTGGTAACATACTATTGTCTAGTACAGTGCTGTTCAGGTCAGCTTCAGAATTTCCCCTAATGAAATCTTGCAATTCATCTATAACCAGTGTTGGAAGAAATGTCCACCTGGGTTCAGTTCCAAGTGGGAAGAAAGACACTGGAAACATGGAGGCTGATTGGAAGGATGGTTTAATGCTGGGCAGGGCCACATGGTTTGAGGTCCTGGACAAAAAATGAGTGCATGCATATCCTCTGTTGGGCTTTGAACTTGCTTCCTGTTCCTAGAAATGTATCCTGATTGGTTGTCAGACTCCCATGGGGCCATGCAGGGGCAACTTTGTAGGTTATCTTGAGTCCCAGGCTTGGTTGAATCTTGCTGGGTGATGTAATGAAGGGGCTTTGGACAATTCCTATTATGGCTTAATGGCTTTGTCCTGTTTGGATCTGAGTGAGGGCTAATCCTATCATCCTGGAGCTGAAGGTCTTTTGTGTTGTAGATAAGAAGTCTTTTGTCTTGTAGATAAGCTGGCCCCAAAATATCTGCTGGGGCTGAGTTTCTGTGTCTCTTAAGATTTCTATTTCTCTTTTATATTCTGCCTTTTTAATATTTCCTAGAATATTTCAATTTTCTAGGAGAAGTGTGGGTGCTCACTTTCTACACCAGCATATCAATTCATAGGGAGGTATTAGTGGTATTGGAGCAGGTAACCATCTGGGATTTTTTTCATTAGTGTGCAAGGACCAGAAATCTCCTGGAAGTTGGCCCTTTCTTTTCTCGCCAAGGAGTTGACCTTAGTTTTGTCTGATTTTTTCAAATTCAGGTGTACTGAGAATCACTGCTGGTTATATTTCACTTAAATAATTTTTTATTGTTAATGTATCATTTGCTCCCCAGCTATCTGCTGCTATCTTGAGAGGGACATCCTCCCAAGAGTCTGTAGAAGAAAGACCATTGCAAGATAACCACAAGAATCTCATTGATGTCCATGTAAGAAGGAAAATGGCATTTGATGATTTGGCTCATAATGATAGAAATGCTCAGGTAAGTAATGTAATCACGATGATGAACAAGAAAGAGAGAGAGAGAGAGAGAGAGAAAGAAAGAGAGAAGAAAGAAAGAAAGAAAGAGAGAGAGAAAGAAAGAAAGAAAGAAAGAAAGAAAGAAAGAAAGAAAGAAAGAAAGAAAGAAAGAAAGAAAGACAGAAAGAAAGAAAGCTTTCAGCATATAAGGAACAGGCACAATTTGCATAGTATTGTAGCTGCACTATGGAGGCAGAGGCTCAAATTCTCATATGAAATGAAAGTTGATGTGGTCAAGGGTTAATATACTAAGCTAGATGTAACAAGATCCTAATTTGAATCTGGTTGCTTCTATGACCTCAGTAGGTATTCTTGGCTATATGTTTTCCACTTAGCCTTGGCCCAACCATCTCTAACATGGTTTTCTATAAAAGAGAATATTTTTACTCGCCCTGATGCTGTCTAGATGTGTTGGGGCTGTAATTCACAAAGGCCACTCTGGCTGGTAGTTTTGGAAATTATAGCCCCAATATACTTGGAAGGCACTAGGGTAGAATCTTTACTTTGCCAATTGTAAAACTTACAGTGTATGACTAAGGGCGCTGAACTCTAAAAACACAATATAAATAGACAATCATCACTGTCATCATGGATTTCTGTTATCTCAGCTGTTATTTCTTAATTGCACCTTTTTCTAACAGGCACCACAAAAGATAACTCCTTCTAAAAACTTCTAATGTCTTTTAGGCAACCAGAAGGGCATTGCTGAGGTCTGAGTCACTGAAAACTGCAAGAGGAGAACCAAGAACAAGGAACCCATCTAAAATTCTGAACAATAGAAGTTTAACCCCAACTGGTCATAGGACACCCCATCGAATACCATTTCAAATTCAGAAAGTAACGTGGATTCCCAGAATAGACCTTTTCTTTTAGTATTTCTATGTAATCCACCTTTGCCAGATCTCTGTGCAATGTGAAACTTTGTAGGTAGGTAGGTAGGTAGGAAGGAAGGAAGGAAGGAACCCAGCATAGGAGAGAAATTTAGATAAAGCTTGTGTATTTTCCCGAGGCAAAGTACCAGTTGAAAGTAATAGCTTGTGAGTCTAGTACAGTCTAAGGTGCTTGTTTATTCATGTCTTAGTAGTTGTATCCAGGGGTGGGATTCAAAAATCCCAATAACCGGTTCTCTGCCTGGTTGCAGAGTGGGCATGGCCATGGTGGGTGTAGCCTACTGGAACTTCAGGGAGAGCCGTTTTTTGCCTTCCCCAGAGTCCGGAGGCTTCCTCGGGCTTCTGGGAAGGTGAAAATGGCCTCCCGCAGGCTCCGGAGGGCCTCTGAAACAGGCCCGTTTCCAGACTTCCGGAACTTCTGGGAGGGCCGTTTTTTGCCCTCTCAGAGCTTCTGTGTGGACCCTGCACTAACTTGCATCCAAAACGGGCCATGTGTAGACTCCTGGGAGGGGTCAGGAGGGATGGGTGAGGCCAGCCAGTCGGTTCAACTACTGGTTTGGAGAACCAGATGTAAATTTAACATCCGGTTCGTGCGAACTGGCTGAATCCCACCCCTGATTGTATCATCTGTGAACAATCTGAGGACATGTCCCCAGATTACCACCTTTTCCATGCAACAATCCCTCCAAAGCAATTAGAAAACAATCTTGAACTCCTGAACACAGACATGAAAACATGCCATGAGCCCATCACTGCTACGACAGTTGTTATGCTCAGGAGTTTAAGGAGTGTCAATTGAAGGAGTGCTACACCCGGAATTACCATCAATAATTCAACAACAAAACAATAAATATAAAAATGACACTTCTATCTCAGTTGAATACACAATGAAACAAACTGTTACTACTCCTCTCCCCTTTCATGTTTATAGTTTATGTCATGTATTTGTTTATTTTCAAAATACTACAGTGGGATGTTTTCTGAATGTTAGTTCCCTTTCCTTTTGCATTTTGCAACCTGCGATGGTGAAGCGATTGATAGCATGCTGTAAAGTTGCAACCGAGCATTTTTCTCAGTAGCTCTAACTCTGGTTATGTGTTGTGGTGAGGTCTGGAGTGCAGGAAATGCACCCTTAGCGATGCCTACAATAAGACGCTGATACTCTTGGTCTAGTCTGGAGTGGGCAGCTTGAGTCCAGGACGAAGGCCATGAGGCGATGGAAGACTTTTCTGTAGTGTGAAAATCAGAAGCTGAACAGAGTTTGAGCTCTGAAAAGCAAATACCAGCTTTGTTACCCATTCAACTAAACCTGTTCAAGCTTAATGTTCTTGAGGGATGAATTGCAAAGTGAGCAATTCTCTGTGCTATTGCCAAATATGATACTTTGGAGCTCCTTAGCTGTATGGGAAGTTTTCTTTTCCACTCAAACCCAAGTAGAACACCTCACCGTCTTTAAGATCTTTCTGCTCGGACTGTTTTGATTAGCAGCTGAATGTATGAAGATTGCTTGCCTGCAGGTGTTGAACGTAATGCCAGAATGCCATGGCCCTGGGAACCTTTTCCCAAACTTAGAGTTCAAGCTTGCTGGTTTTTTGGTGATGACCCAGATTCTAATTAACTAGCTGTTTTTGACTTTTATTTCGGACATCTTGCGAATAGTATAGGTAGTCCTCAACATGCGACCACCATAGAGGGCAGTATTTCTGTTGCTAAGTGAGACAGGCGTTAAGTCAATTTTGCCGCATTTATGACCTTTCTTGCCAAAGTGCTTAAGGGAATCGCTGCCGTTGTTAAGTTAGTAATATGGTTGTTAAGTGAATCTTGCTTCCCCATTGACTTTGCTTGTCAGAAGATTGCAAAAAGGGATCACATTTTGATCACGCGACCAAAAGGATGTGGCAATGGTTGTAAGAAAGAAAAAAATGGTCATAAGTCATTATTTTTTTTAGTATCATTGTAACTATGAACAGTCAGTAAATGAACCGTTGTATGTTTTTCCTATGGGTAAAAATTCAAAAGGAGAAGGAAAACTAGGATGATTGCCTGCTCCTCCCCTTCTTTGACTGAGGCACTTCTCTATTAGCTTCATCCCTCTTATTTCCACAGCATCTTTTGCACAGATGCCCGTGTATTCTCCCTGCTGTCTTCCTCCCCTTGAGCCAACCAGTGCCCTTCCTCTGGCCACTGAGGAAGCACAAAAGTGCCCCATCCCAATGTTGGCTCTTCCCTTGCCATGTTTTCTATTAAAGCTGAGAAAAACATTGGCCTGCCCTGCAGAGCAACCTCTCTGAGCACTTGGGGAGGGCAGGGTAAAGACACCACGGTGTCACCATGCCAGGAAAGGGCAGGACTTCTAAGTTGCAGAAGTAGGTTTAGGCAAGAGTTCTAGCCAATGGATTCACCTGCCTCGAAGATCCAGAGGAAACCTGATAAAACTGTATTGATGCCATTTTATCTAGTACCAAAGCTCTCTACAGAAGCCTCAGGGGCATGGTGCCAGTCTCTGATTGGCACAGCCTTGTTGTGGAAAGATCTTGATGACCTGTTTGTTGGGTCCTCAATGTAGAGAGAAATGGTTTTGGATATATCTTCAGGTTGCCTATAAAATCCCCACTATCTCTATCACTAGAACAGTTTTATCCTATCTGATAACATAGTCGAGAAACAACTTTAATAACTGAATATTCTGGCTGGGACTTTGAGACGATATAATACTGAATAAGGCTAATATAGAGTAATAACTACTGTTGTTAATTTTGTGTCAGTCTTACTTTCACTGAAAGTAGGCAATTCTTTATACATCTAGACATTTCAAATAATGGTGTGTGCAGAAATATTTTTATTCATTAAAAAGTTGCCTCTTCGCCGTAGGCCTCACCTCAGTTGACTTCTGACCAGCAACAAAGCCATGGAAGAAACACACCTATATCGGTGTCTAACCTGAGCATAGACAAGAATACTGCTCCATCTTTGTATGTAAAAGGTAAAATATGTTTTTTTTAAAAAAAAGACATCTAGTAACTGAAGAACGGTTTCTTTTGCTGGCTGTATTAATTTTATTTTGATTTTAAAATGGCTTCTGAATGATCTGTGCTGTACTGTGCAAGTCACTAACCATTTTAACCTAACAATATTTGAATATTTGCTCTTCTACCTCAGGTACTTCAGAAGATGCAGCGTTTTCAAATAGCCTAAACAGAGACATTTTAAACTCCACACCTTTGGCTGACGTGGAAATCCAGGTATATTTACATACAAATATTAAACATCATCTTTAAATACAGATAATGTTTCTATAATTCTGCTTTAAAATAATAGCCTCCAAAACCAAAGGAGAAGCTTCTTTTCCTCAAAAGTCAAATTGTGGTGGCTTTCTCATCACCTCAAGCGATTTCAAATTAATTGCTTAATATCTCTACAGATGATGGAAGATCTTGGCCATAAAAGAGCTCAGAGGTTCAAGAAGGCCTCTAGGCCAAAGAGTGTCCCTGCAAATGGAAGGAAAACACCTGAAGGCGATCGTTCTACATTTGAGAAGACTGAAAAAAAGGTTTGGGCCCCTAGGGATTCAAATCTTATACTTCCTTCTTATGCATCTATTGTGAGATCAGCATATTTCTTGAGATGATAAGATATGTTTGGAATCCTGTGGGATCTCTGATGAATGGCTACTATTGGCAGATTGCCTCTGTTCAGTGGCCGCCATGGTGATTTTCACCAGTTTAAGAAGAAAGGATTTTCCACTTGTTATCTTTCTTCACTATTAGCCCTACTATACATTTTTACTAGTTCAACAGGCTTAACATACTGTGTACAAAATTGACTTGATCCCTACATTAAACTGCTATTAACTGTAATTTAGTGATTTGATTTCACAATTTGTGAAAGAATTTTGCCTGTCACAGTGGTATGGAAATGTCTTACTATATTTAGTCTTCTCTAATTTGGAGTGAGCAACAAAATACTCCTAGGATGAACAGATAATTTTTCTTCAAGATTAATGTTTTTCAAGATGAATTTTATTTTCCCTGCTGTTTTAACTTTTTTACACTGACACCATAAATACTGAGATGCTCGTTGTGGATTAACAATTCCATGTCCAATGAGTAGAGGAGGCCTACAGATAAAAAGAAAAGTTTACTTTCTAATAGTAGGTAAATTAGTCCTGGAAGAGCAGATGGTTACAGTCTCCATAAACGGACATGGTGTGATGTGTCCATTTCTTATTGTTTTTGCCTGAAGTAGGTAAACTTTACAGTTTTTGCATACAGTCTTTTAAAATGCTGATAAGTACTAATTTATTACTTATATTTTCTTATCTGTTTAGATATAATAGATAATTTTCCTTGAAGGCTTTTCTTTTTCTTTTTGTATGTTCAATAAACATCAGGATAATCCTATTCTATTTCTGATATTTTTTTACAAGAGTCCTCGTGAATTATTCTGTCTTCCAACAACTTAAATTCCCCTAAATTGTAGGAAAATCTGTGATGACCACTAGAAGAAATAGTTTTTCTGTGTTAGTCTTACATTGGGTTTGTCTATGCTTTATTGCCTTTATTTCCTCCCCTTCCTTTTAGGGAAATACCTTGTCCTTTGGTTATTGTCTTAGGTAAAATAGATATTCTTCCCAAATTGATTCATGTTTAATTGCTGATGTTTTTTTCTTCCCGTAGCCAACATTACTCAGAAGAGCATCATCCTGTAGTGAAAGCAAGATTGGTAGAGAAGTGAAAGAAGAAATCAAGTACCTAGATGGAAAGGTAAGGCAGTTTAGATGTATATATAAAATCAACCAATGTTGTATATATCCTACATTAAATAAGAAATATGAACTTTGAAAAGCAGTACCTGCTTGAACACATGGTTCTCTCTCTCACACACACACAAACAGGAACACACACAAAGACACACACACACACACACACACAAACCTGCTCAAGACATATATTGATACCCTAAATCATGGTTAACTGGATATAGACTACAAGGAGACATGGCACCTTTCTTCACTGCTACCATATCTGTTTATGGTTGATATTGACATCAGTCGTTGTTCTTTTTCATCTATAAAACCAAGCAGACTAGTGAAGTTGATTAATGTCAGTGCAAATCATAGACTGAATTGTGAAGTCTGTGTGCATGATATTCCTAAAGGTACTTTCAAAAAAATGTAACTGGACTTTCTTGATTTTTCTTGACAACATTTCACTCCTCATCCAAGAAGCTTCTTCAGTTCTAACTAACTGGTGGGAGGTAGAAAGGATCAAGATCAAATCAAGAAAGCCCAGTTGCCTTTTTGAAAGCACTTTAGGGACAACCATGACCCGGAGAACTGCCGTAGATGTTTGTACGGTATATATGTGTGCATGTGTGTGATGTATTTTCTGTGTTCATCTTCCACATTTCAAATGTCTCTCTGACTTCGCTCCTGTTTTGCTTTTTGACTTTTATGGTAGTTCAAAATGTGTCCAAGCCATTTTGAGCTGCAAACAAAGAAAAGCAATGCGGGTCCTTGTACATATGTAATGTGGATCAGGGAATCTGCAGGTGAAGAAAGAGCTGGAGCTGTTTTAAGATAAAAGATGTAGCGACTTTCAGTTTGGGTATCATGGTTAGCTTCAGAACAATACGAGTTCAATTTGCTGGATAAAATGGAACCGCCTTTTATATATATCCTTAATTTGAGGTTGTACCAGGCATGCTGGGCAGTTAGTTTCATTTGGCACATGTTTTGAAAAATTTATTTGCTGGAAGTGTGTTCCCCATCTGCTCTCCGAGAGGTCTTGCATAATCTCCTAGGTGCGCCTTCTTCCCATACAGCTGGTTTGGGTACAATGGGGGTCACATAATACGAAAATTAAACTATTACAGGCATATGTCTGTGCCATATGGCAATTCATCAACGTGCAAATTAGAGCACCCCATGCAGGACTGACGGTCTCCAAGGAAATGCTGATTATGTTGACTTGTAGAGAAATTGAATTCATAATGCAATTTGTGCCAGACGTGAATTTCATAAAAACAGCATTTGTGACTGGCAGCAGGAATCTTTCTCTCCACTGTAAAGCCTTTCGAAGAAGCCTTGAGATTGCTTCTCGTACACTTACTGGAAGACATTGAAGTTTAGCTTTGCACAATGTTGTATGTTACATCTGTCCCAAAAACAGTTGGAGCAAGGAAGGAAATGCAGCTGTAATGTAGGGCAAGCATCAAAAAGCAGCTCTAATATAACAGGAATAACAGGTCAAATATAGCCCTTTATACAGAGCTTTATAATAAAAGTTAAGTATAAATAATTATGATTGTACAGCCTAATGGGATTGTGAATCTATATTAGCTTTATAATAATCAGACACACACACACACACACACACACACACACACACACACACACACGTTATTGTACTGTATATCAGACTGTATATCGGACATTAACACAATTGAGCGGGTTCAGAGGTATTTCTCAAGAAAAGTACTCCACTCCTTCCACTCACAGTAAAATTCCCTATGCTCCAGGCTCGAAATTTTGGGCCTGGACAATTTGGAACTGCGCCACCTACGGTCCGATCTAAGCATAGTTCACAAAATTGTCTGCTATAACATCTTTCCTGTCAATGACTTCTTCAGCCTCAATCACAATAATACACAGGCAAACAACCGATACAAACTCAAGGTAAACCGTTCCAAACTTGATTGCAGAAAATACAACTTCAGCAACAGAGTGGCCAACGCCTAGAACGCCCTACCCGACTCCATTGTTGCAGCCTCAACCCCTCACAATTTCAACCTCAAACTGTCTACCATGGACCTCACACCATTCTTAAGAGGTCCTTGAAGGGGGCGTGCATAAGCGCACCAGCGTGCCTACTGTCCCTGTCTTACTGTTCCCATTTATCTGTATGTACTTCCTTTGTTCTTGTTTATATTCATACATACTTGTTATCTTGTATATATTTGACAAACAAATAAAATAATTAAATAAATAAAACCCCCATAGAGTTTATGGGAGTGTAGCCAATGTAGATACTGATATTTTTTTAAAGTATTATTATTTTTGGACTTGTTTGTATATTTTAAGCAATTTACTGCATCTAATTACACATCTTTCAGGAGTGACTTTAGGGAGCACACAGAGTATTAAGGTAAATAAGCCCTGCAAACCCCCCCCCCCAACAACATACATGATTAAAGCATCCATAATAATAATCCAGAATAGTTATAACCACCATCCATTTTCAATCGATAAAGACCAAAGGAAACAGAGCCACCAACCGTGCAGGTTTAGCCTCATGACTCAAGGGCCTGAGGGAACATCTAGGTCTTTAAGCGCCTTCCCCGCCACCCATTTTCTTGCTTTGTAGAAATGCTACATATTCATAGGGAAATATTCAATGAGTTTGAGTTGAGTACTGCAAGATTTGAGCAAAGATCCTTGAGTAGGTAAGCAACCTAGCTTCCATTTTCACAAGAATTTTCTGGGAGTTGGGTGGCATATAGATTTCATAAATTGTGATGAAAAATACAGTCATTTTCATGAAGATGGATTTCTTGCCCTTCCTTTACTCCTTTTCCAAAGTGATATTTCCATGACAGACCTACTAGCAACTTTTTCCCACCCAGAAGCGTAATTACAAAATGTGTGAAATATGTCTGGGTTCCAATATCATTTGATACTTTGAAAAAAGTTGGGACTAAGTAAACGCTCTCCCAGTTTGAGTGGAATTCTGGTTGCTTCCCGCTGTCATATTTTGATTGGCCCCAAATAGTGCATGGTTTACTTTGAGAATAGATAGGTAGGTAGCACAACATTAAATGGGCCACTCTCTCAGCTTCCAGATGGAGGGCTTCTGCTTTGCCAGTCACAGGGCCTTGCACAAGAGTTACATTTTATTTTCCTCCTGGACAATTTTTTTTCAATGGAAAGGAAAATGATAGAAGAATGTTGGAAATGGGAGATACAAATAGAGAAGGATACCTTCTCGGACTGTCTGTAAAATTTTGTCAGGGTGATTGCAGCACTGAAATACTGTAAATGAATGAAACACAATTTACATATGAAAGAGAATTTACATACATGTGAATAAAGAGATTAAACTTATCCTAGCTTGCTTTTTCCAGCTCTCAGATTTATTTTACAGCCAAATTTGCTTTCAAGAGACCCAGATACTACCTTCTGGTGGAGACATGATCTTTTAAGAGTGATGTTTGTTAAGTTGTGGCTGTTCATACAAAAAATGATGCATGTGTATTCTCAAACATCTGGTCTTTGCTTCAAAGGTGAAGCAGCTGTTCACCGATGGACGCAGAATTACTACATACCCCAATGGTACAAAGATGGAAATTAGTACCGATAAAAAGACAGCTACTGTTACTTTTTACAATGGTGATATTAAAAAGATATTAGCAGATCAGACAGTGGTGAGTATGCTTGTTTCTATCTCTCTGCTTTAAAGCTATAGTTTTAGCAATGGACTGCTGAATTCTGAATGATTAATCTTGAGGAAGAAAAGGAGGTAAATAGGAGGACGTGTCATTTTGGTGCAGCAAAATATGAACACATTTATTTCAGCATATAATTCCATAGTCAACCCATTTCAATAATGCATAAGGCTAAAACATCTGAAGAACGGTTGCAGGAATTAAGCTTGTCTAGTCTAATAAAAAGAAGGACTAGGGGAGACATGAAAGCAGTGTTCCAATATCTCAGGGGCTGCCACAAAGAAGAAGGAGATCAACCTATTCTCCAAAGCAACTGAAGGCAAGACAAGAAACAATGGATGGAAATTAATCAAGGAGAGAACTAACCTAGGACTAAGGAGAAATTCCCTGACAGTTAGAACAATGAACCAGTGGAACAGCTTGCCTCCAGAAGTTGTAGATGTTCCAACACTGGAAGTTTGAAAGAAGAGATTGGACAACCATTTGTCTGGAATGGTACGGGGTTTCCTGCTTGAGGAGGAACTAGAAGATTTCCAAGGTCCAAGAGTGTTACAAGAGTATTATTTTGCCTTGACAGATCATGGGAAGAGTCATAAAAGAATTTAACTTAATGAAACCCGTGAATAACCTTTAATAATAATAAGGGTACGCCAATTTCAGGCTTGCAGAATGTGGGGTTTTTTTGTTTGTTTACTTAACACCAAGCTGGAGCTTAGTAGAAGAATCAAATAATTAAAATTAAGGAATATCAAGAACCAGTAGCCCATGAATACCGGAATTTCTTTTGAATAGCAGATCTGAATGCAACATTTCCACATCTGCCAATTTATTTGACATTCTGTAAGCTGCTTTTTTAAAAAAAAATATTTTGGTTAGTGCAGGTAGTCTTGACTTTACTACCATAATTGGGTCTGGCAATTCCATTGCTAAACAACACAGCCATTAAGTGAGACATCACATCACTGCAGTGCAATTTTATTGTTGGCTTCTCCACTGATTCTGCTTGTCAGAAGCTGACTGTGGAATCTGCAAATAGTGATAACCTGACTGCAGGACACTATGATGGTCATAAACACCCACTGGTTTCAAAATACCAGAATCTTGCACAGATGACCATAGGGACCTGCAATGTCATAAGTGTGAGGGCCAGTCATAAAATTGCTTTTTCATTAGAGTTTTTTTTTTTTACTTTGAACAGTTGCTAAACAGGGCAGTCATTAAGCACCTGTGTAATGTTTGAGTCGGGGGTAATTTTGTGACTTCCTTTAAAATAGGAAATCCTTGCTGATTTGTCTTAAACAATCCAGACATCCCCTGCTAGCATCAACTCAACCTCCTGGCCATCTTTGCTGGACAACCCTTCAGTCTTCCCAGAGTGCCTGAAGATACATTTAAAAATGGAATTGCAGACATCAGCCCTAGCTGCAGACAGTCTGGAGGGCCTGAGATTGGAAAAAAATGTTCTTGAGGGATGTTATTATATACAAAGAAATATTTTTAGCAGCTGCATTTTGATTAGGTTGCTGAAGAATACCGGGGTCAGCGGCAGTATTAATATTGTATGTTACGTTTGCATATATGTATACAAAGTACTTGAATTGAAAAACATAGTGAGTCCTTCTCTTCCTCCCCCCCCCTTCCTAAACATACTGATGTAAAGGAGAATATTTGTAGCTCAGGGTTGACATGAGGGGTCCTTGGTGCTCTCTGAGCTTGCTTGTTTTCTTACAGATGTTTCATTACCCAAACTAGGTAACATCAGTTTTGGTAATGAAACATCTGCAAGAAAACAAGCTAGCTCAGAGAGCACTGAGCATCCCTCACACTGTTGTATTCAGGGGCTACTGTTTCAGTGCAGTTTCTTTCCATTCCCAATTTGACATCCCAATGGAAAGAAATCAACACCATTGGAAACTAGCCATGCAAGTAATGCAGATAGCTTTTATGTATTACTTTTGTCACAAAGATATTAAATAAAAGCAAAAGTTTTATTTAAAAGGTATCTGAGGGGAAGAGATGGTAAGCAACCAAGATTTGTTCCCTCTTTTTTTCAGATTTATTACTATGCAGATGCCCAGACAAGCAGGACTATTTATCCAGATGGCTTGGAGGTGCTGCAGTTTCCGAATGATCAGATTGGTATGTGATGTTGGCATACTGAGTTTTAAATCAACTTCTTCAGCAATGTTAGGTGGTAGATAATAGACTACTCTTCCTAATTAGATGTGTTGGGCTACATCTTACATGATCATAAACTACTTTGGCCATTGGAACTATACTTCAACACATTTAGAGTTGATGGAGGTAGCAGTATAACTTCTGATTAAAAGTTACATGCTTTTGTACCACTCTCCTTATGAAATGGCCCCCAAAATAGATCCTGAAGACCATGTGTAGATCATGAAACACAGTAGCTTAATAGAGGTAACATATTTTTCATATGTTAACTTCCTTATTGCCCCTCAGTAGAGATTTCTGGGGCGGTTCACAGTAGCTCCACAGCTCCAGATTTGTCTGGAGCAGGAGACATTAAATTTTGTTGTATTATCAATCCATAGTGGTATGCTAGTTGTATTAGAATCAGCGGAAATTTTTGAATGTTTATAATTTTATTTAAACAGAAACTTCTTATAAATATAGAGATAGACAGACAGACAGACAGATAGATACTTTCTGCAAGTTCTTATAGGAAAGTAAAATTATGACATTATGGCAGAAACTGACATTTTTGAGGTGGCACATAGTTTTTTTTGTTTGAAATGAATGCTTACTTATGCACATTGTCACAACTGCAGAGTAGACAGGTCTGTCTGGAATAAATTATAGTTTGCATTATCCATCCTTAGTGACGTGCTGGCAGTATTAGAATCAGTAGAAAATTTCTCATTGTCTTCAGAAAAAGAAAGCACATTTACAAGCCATTATATTTAAACAGAAACATGTCTAACAAAATAGCAGAGTTGGAAGGGTCTTCTAATCCAACTTCCTGCTCAAGCAGAAAACCCTATAACATTTCAGACAAATGGTTGTCCAATCTCTTCTTGAAAACCTCCAGCATTGGAGTCCTCATCTATTTGTGTGTGTGTGTGTGTGTGTGTGTGTGTGTATACCCCCCAACACACATATATACACACACACATACATACTGATTTTCTGCAGGTTATTTTATAGGAAAGTAAAAAAAGGCAGAAACTGGCATTTCTGAGGTGGCAGATTGTTTCTTTTGTATGAAGTGAATTATTTATGCATATTGTCATAATTGCAAAGTAAGATATAATATCCTTCTTGAACCTTTCTTGATTTAATAGAGGGAACTTATCTTGATATCTGATGTTAATAGTTAGGCAAGCTTGTGTAGTAGCCTTACACTTGGAAGGAACAATTTAAAAAGTGTGATTGTGAAATAATATTAGGTTGTTTTTTTTCCCTGAGTGGAGAATTGCATTTTACATGGTTACATGCATTATGTATAATAGCTTGCTACGATATTACAACATTGATTTTTTTTTGTACATATTCGACTCATCTGTTTTCTATTTGGAAAACAATATATGTAAACTATCTTCCCTTAATTAGGGAGCTGAGGCCTCAGCAGGTTTAGAATTCAAATGGGCCACCATTCCTGCATGGGAAATCTGTTGTAGCTTGCTGCTGTTAGATCACAATATATAATGACTATCTGTATTTTATTCATCATACATTAATGCTGGGAGACTACAGGCAATTTGGTTTACCAGGAATTTTGAATTGATGCCCTTGTTAACAGAAAAGTATCATCCTGATGGTACTGAAGAGATCATCTTTCCGAACCAGACAGTGAAACGTCGCTATGGTGGAGGTTTTGAGGAAACCATTTTCCCAGATGGCACAATGGTTAAAATAGAAAAGTAAGTAATTACAGAGATTACTGGACACAGACTGGACACAGAAGACCATGGTATTGACTTAAGTCAACGTATCAGTTTCTTTGTCAGGAACTGTTAAAACAGAGCAGATCTTCAGGAGCTTTTTCTGCTGCAAGATTTGTGAATCCTGACAAGACCAAAGTATAGATAGTCCTCAACTTATGACCGTAACTGAGCCTCCCTCAATTGCAGTGTAAATAGTGACAGTCATAAAGCGGGTCACCACATAACCAATTTTATGACTTCTTTTGTAGTGGTTAAGAAATGAATGTGGACACTGGTAAGAAAATCCATTGTTGGTTATGGGACATTTTTTGTGTGTGCTGGAAATTGGAAGTAAATGCTGGTTCCTGGCAAAAATGTTGTAAATCACAGCCATGCGATCACAGGGCTCTGCAATTGGCTTGTAAATGCAGGCTGGTTGCTGAGTGCCTGTGATATGTAAAAATTACATATTAAGGATTATACCTGTGAAAATGAAAAACACCATATTTATCCTATTAATGACCAAGGGCAATATTACTGGAAGGGGCATCAAACATGTTAAGGAGATGTATAGGAGGAAGGTCGAGGGCCACTTTACTGAAAGTGACCCACGGCAGATGTGGAAGGGGATACAGGCCCCGACCAACTATAAAGGCCAGGGCCCAACGAACAGCGAGAGCAGTAGCACTCTGGCAGAGGAGCTAAACAGCTTTTTCACACGCTTTGAGACCACCAAGAACCTGGATATAGTGCCTCACGAGGATCACGATGCTGCACCTCTTTCTCTTCAGGTGCATGAGGTGAGAAAACACTGAGAGCAGTAAATCCCAGGAAAGCTGCTGGGCCTGATGGCATTCCTGGTGCAGTAGTTAAAGCATGTGCTGACCAGTTGGCAGAAATACTTACAGAGCTGTTCAATGTATCTGTGAAACATGCCATCATATCACAATGCCTGAAGGCTGCAACCATCATCCCCGTTCCCAAAAAAAGAAATATAAACACTCAATGGCTATAGGCCCATAGCATTAACAAGCTCCATTATGAAAGTTTTTGAGTGACTAGTTTCACAGCACATCAGAGACTGCCTCCCGCCCTCCTTTGATCAACATCAGTTTGCTTATAGAGCAAACCAATCTACAGAGGATGCTGTGGCCATCATACTTCATAGAGTGCTGAGTCATCTGGAGAACAGAGCTATGTGAGGATGCTCTTTGTGGACTACAGCTCTGTGTTTAACACTATCATCCCAGATATACTAGTAACCAAACTGTATAATCGGCAGGTCCCCACCCCTACGTGCTCCTGGATTAAGAACTTTTTGACAAACAGACCACAGTCTGTTAGACTTGGCCCCCACCTTTCTTCCACTATTACACTCAGTACTGGTTCCCCCCAGGGTTGTGTCTTGAGCCCCCTGCTATATGTACACCTTTGACTGCTCACCAAGCCATGCAACAAACACCATCATAAAGTTTGCAGACGATACAACTGTGATTGGTCTAATCTCCGGAGAGGATGAGACGGCATATAGGGCAGAAGTAGAGATCCTGTCTATCTGGTGTTCACAGAACAATCTGTCACTGAATGTCCATAAAACCAAAGAACTGATTATGGACTTCAGGAAACATGGACAGGACCACGCCTCACTCATCATTAACGGAGAACGAGTGGAAACTGTCCCTACAATCAGATTCCTTGGCCTCCATATTTCAGGTGATATCTCCTGGTCCCCTAATACCAAGGCCATTGTGAAGAAGGCTCAGCAGCGGCTGCACTTCCTGCGGGTTCTCAGGAAGAACAATCTGGATAAGAAGCTGTTGCTGGCTTTCTATAAAGCCTCTGTGGAGAGCACTCTGACATACTGTCTGGGTGTGTGGTATGCAGGCTTCACAGTTGAGGACAGGAAAACTGTACAGAGGGTGATAAACACAGCTCAAAAGATCATTGGTTGCTCTCTGCCCTCCCTGGAAGACTTAGCCAGGTCCCACTGCCAAAGCAGAATCAAGGCCATTATAGAAGACCCCTCACACCCTGGCAATTATCTTTTTGACCTGCTACCTTCTGGACGGCGTTTTAGGTCAATAAAATCCCACACCACTAGACTAACAAATAGGGCTATCCGAACCGCAAATAAACACAAAGTCACTACCTTATTAAGATGTGAAAAGATGTGAAATCTCAATACCCCATTCAGATGTATAATAACATATTACAGTACAATCCATCTCTTGTGTATTATACTCGGCTAAGCGTTACAGTCAGTGTTGGATGTATATTTTGTGTATATTTGTAGATATTGTACTCTCAAATTGCAAATGGAGATGTGGGTACTCTATTTTTCTTATCTTCATTTTTAAGTGCTTTGGTTTTATTGTATTGCGAACAGTTGCTGGGGTGCATCCACAATTTCGTTGTACTTGTACAATGACAATAAAGTTCTTCTAATTCTTCTAATTCTAATTCTAATTCTAATATTATATAATCATAATATAAAAACAAGATTGTTTGTGTTCTGTGAAAATGTCAAATTTCTGGCTGAATATGAAAATGTCAAACCTTTGGCAGAGATATGTGTAAAATCTTCAGTAGGTCACTTTGACTTGACGGAACTGTATAATGAGATATAAAATGCAGTCATGTGATCTCAGGGAGATGATGTCAGAATTTTGAAACGGTGTCGTAAGTTGTTTTGGGGACGGGTCTGATGTAACTTCAAATGGTCCCTAAGGACCGGTCATAAATTGAGACTACATGTATAAGCTATTCTTGACTTTCAGGCTAGGCAGAACCTGTGCATCATTTCTGTCACATTTTTTCCAAGGATTTTCTGGTTAATCTCTGTTAAATAAAGTATCCTTGTCTGATACCCATCTGGCTTATTGGCCGCCTTACTAAACTTATAAAAGATGCTTATTCCTGGAGTCAGGAATTCCTTGTCTTTGGACTTTTAAGCCAGACATATTTTTTTTATTTCTTTTACAGAAATGGAGATAAAACCATCCACTTTCGTAATGGCCAAAAGGAGATCCAAACTGCTGGGTCAAAAAGAAGAGAATACCCTGATGGTACTATAAAGACTGTATATGGCCAGTGGGAAACCAAGAACGTTGCCAAACAGATCCAAATGGAGAACGACAAGGAAGCACTTATTCTAGATGAATGACTCATTCCCCTAAATGGTGGCCTTACAACCCTGCTGTTTGCAGTTTTTCTGAAAGCCTTCTGCCAATGTTAAAGTCCAAATTGTAGGCAATACAAATAGAATACAAATTAATGTAAACAGTGACATAATCAGCATTTTAAAAAAAACTGATAGTGATGTTTAATATGAATTTATTTTTGAAAAAGCGGTGAAAAAAATGGTTATTCCCATCTGCCTGAAGTGGAAAGGAATCCCTTCCACTTCTTTGAATTCTGAAATTATAGCAAAAGTCTGCAGAGATACCCTATTAGTTTTTGTTTGAGCAGTGAGTAGTTGTGAGGAAGAATCAAGAACCACTATAATTCTGAAACCATACAAGTAATATGGTATATTCTAAATGGAATGGCATGGTGGCCTAGAGGTGGAGCTCTCGCCTCACAATCTGGAAGCTGTGAGTTCGATCTTAGGTAGAGGTAGATATTTCTATCTATGGCGCAATGAATCTGCTGCTAACTCTGCAGAGGGGTCAGGAAGGGCATCTATCTGTAAATGCTCAGCTTCAGTCAGTCACCCCAACTCCATCCCAATGCAAAGGATTACAGGGTCATTAAAAGAAAAAAAAATGGTATATTCTAAATAATCAGGCACAACTACCTCTAGCATGTGGAGCATATTGTAGTGATGTCAGAATTATGACACAGATACACTAACATAATCACACATAGCTGTATCCCGAGGTCTGATGGAAATACATAAGCTGTAGCATTTTGGGTAAAGGTGTTGTAAACCTTTTGCCATTTGCCCCACTCTGGTATGGATCATCATAGTTTTTATCGTGCAAGTTTGAATTCTTGTACTCATCTGTAGCCTTTTGTATGTGGCATTTTTAACGAAAACTATTTTTCTAAAATATCACCAGTTCCAATCAGATCAGGGTTACCTCCCCAGGATCTGAGTTTTGAGTTTTCTGTGACTAGCCAAGCCATTATTTGTTAAGCCAGGGTTTGTTGAGTTGGTCATAACTGACTAGATTCTCACAACATGCCAAGCCATAAACAGTGATTTACAAATCGCAATGAGATCAAGATAAAATTCATACTATATTGTTATGTGCAACCAGGCCAGAAAATATATCTTTCAGTCAGGAAGGCTGGGGCAATGCCTCTTAAAACTTGTGAATAGGCAGCAATAAGAATAGATATTTCTGGAGCCAGAAGGGCTAGTAGTTAAGTAGAAATGGCTACACATGCCAATCAAGTAGTTGCTGAATGAAAAAGCTGTTTGCATGCAACAGGAAGGTAAAAGTCTTCCTTGACTTACAACCATTTGTTTAGCTATCGTTCAAAGATGAGAGGCACTAAAAAAAAGTGAGTTACAACCCGTCCTTCCACTTATGAGACACTCATAGGATCCCCACAGTCATGTGATCAAAACGTGGGTGCTTGTAGCATCCCTGGGTCTTTCAATTGCCTTTGCAACCTTCCTAGCCAGTTTCTGATGAGCGAAGTCAATGGGGGAAGTTGAACTCACCTAATAATTTCATGGTTAACTTAACGCTTACAGGGATTTATTTAATCATGGCAAAAAAAAAAAAAGTATAAGCAGGCCCAACAGCACTTACCAACTGCCTTGCCTAGCAATGGTAATTCTGTCCTAGTGTTGTCACACATCAAGGTCTATCTATAGTTTTTACCCTCCCCTCTTTCCAAAAGGGAGGAGCTGAGTTGGCAGTTCTATTCAGGAAATTATGTAGTACAATGGAGCTTCCTAGAAATCTACAAGTAAATAGGAATCAGTGAAGTTTTAATGTTATGAATGTTCATTTCATACTCAGCTTGTAAGTGCCGTGTGTGAAAATAAATCTTATGTTACAGAAATGCCATAAGTGCTTCAGTGAAATGAAATCTGGATAAACATCTGCATCCAGATAGGTTTCACTCTTGAGGGGTGCATATCCATAGTATTTTTTCAACTGTGTGAAGAAATTCAGGTACTAAGATGTATAAATTTCAGGAGTTCTGTCCAGTGGTGGGATTCAAATTTTACTACTGGTTCTGTGGGCATGGCTTGGTGGGAGTGGCATGGCTTGGTGGGTGTGGCTTAGTGGGCGTGGCAGGGGAAGGATACGGTAAAATCCCCATTCCCTCCCCACCCCACTAACTTGCTTTCTAGCTCCGTTCTCCTGTGCAGGGCAACAAAAGAAGACCCAGCCTATCAGCTGGGACTCGGGAGGCAGAGAATAGATGGGGGCAGGGCCGGTCAGAGGTGGTATTCCAAATTACCAAAAATTTCCGCTACCGGTTCTCCAGAACTGGTCAGAACCTGCTGAATACCACTTCTGGTTCTGTCCCTGATTCTCCCTGTCACTCAACTATCTTTTTATTTGTTCATTTCCCTGGTATACATCTTTTTCCAAGTTGGTGATTTTTAGAAGTGTTGGAGTATAATGTGTATTATCACTGTTTGCATGGCTAAGAATCGATGGTTTGTAGACCAACTCATATAGAGGGTGCTGAGTTTGGGAAGGCTCACCGGGTGTCACATCTTGTGAATAGAAAGCTCACCTGGTGTCATATCTTGTGTTTGGATCCTGTGTGGGTCCTTCAGTGACAGGATGAGTATGTCTATGTTAGACCACAGAAAAGACTTCTGTATTTTTGACAAGTTCATGGGAAACAGATTGTTTGACCTTCTGTTTGTAATTTTGATGCTAAACTTGAATGAAAATTGAATGTGGCCAAAAGTCTTTTTAAAAATAAAACAATATGTTAGTACAACCAATACATTACTTGTTTATACTGTTTACTGATTCAAATGCCTTAATCTGAACAAACTGGTTAATATTTTATTTCTTTCGTTCCCATTATTTGTATAAGTGTAATAATATTTTGAAGGAGATCGTTGCAAATTTCCCAACATTTGCACATATATTGAGAAGAGACTTGTTTCAAAAGGAAAAAAAGGGAAGAAAAGTGTATAGGAGAGACTTCAAAATTTCTGTCCTGCTAGATATGTTGAATTCTAGTTATTTTATTGTTTGAGAAATATAGGTCTTGGTCTGGCACATCTGATGGGCACCACATTGAGGAAATCTAGTATAGGAATGGCACACATTATATTTTTGTCATCAGCTTTCAAGCTCTTTCAACAAAAGAGTATAAAATAGCTCAAACCACTTGTCTACTGGTTAACTAAGGCTTTATTTAATTTTTGAGGTTCTGGTTGTAATTCTCTATTCATTAATTTATGGATTTCCTGTATTACACTTTTGACATTCATTCCATTCTTAGACGCTTCAAGTGCTGCATCATTGAAAGGAAATATAAGGATAAAGTCACCTACACGGGGGAATGGCCGTCTATCTTTATCTGAGAGAAAATAAAGAGGAATAGTTGGCTTGTGGGTATAGAACTCTAGGGAGTTAAACCAATGTGTGGACTGCACAGACTCACATAGCGAATGACTAGTTCTTAACACCTGTCTGCTTTTGGATAATGGCTTCGATTGGATAGGCGTTTGGGGCATGTGCATCTTTTCACGTAATTGTGAAGTCAACGTTTTCCGAGGGTATGCACTAGCTGTTCTGCCATAGGTGGCTGTTCTTTTAGTGATCTGCAAACACGATGGAGAAGGGGAAGTTGTTGCTGATTTGATTCCTTTCCCACAAGCCAGGAAATCCAGTGGGACCTCTGACTCGGTTGTCAGCATATATTGCGATCGGCTGAAGCACGAGATCCTCCGATTGGTCCCTCTGCTTTTTCTTAAAGTATCAGCTTCCTTATAGTTCAGCAAGTCAACAATGTCATGGAGCAGCTTCCTTTTGACGACGACATCACTGGCACAGTCTAAACGTAGGCCTGGGCTGTGGTTTACTTCTAGAAGCCAGGGTTTCATTTTCTCATCGACCAAAATGTCAAACCCGAAGAGCTCAAAGCAGTTGGAAGTAAATGGTACTGAAGTGCTGATGGCCAACAAAGTTAGAATGACTATATGGTTGATCCTTTTCCATAGGAGCAGGTCATCAACATGGCAGCTTCGTAAATAGGCCCGAAATCTGCTAAAAGTCCATTTGCACCCAGAGCCAATGACATCTTTGTCCTTCCTATACGATGGTCCAAACTTGTTGATGCTTGAGTTTGTCAAGTGAGCGTAAATGTTGTCAAGGGATCTAAGGTCAAACTTCTCTGTTGCAAACCTCACCAGTCCTTCTTCGTATATATAAATTGTAAGGGGGTAAAAGCTTGTAACGCAAACATAAATACGGAGATCCCATTTGTATCCAGAAATAAGCAAAGGGTTACTGATATACTTTTGCACAATTACCATGCAGTCATAAACAAAATCCTTAATGTCTTGAAAAATGAGGATGCCTCTCCCGCGAGACCTATCAACTGGCTTGCAGATCCAGTAACTCAACTTTTTGCCTGGTATTTGCCTCTCCTTGGAGTACTCTGTTATAAATTTTATATAGTCATTGGGCATGATGAAAGCCACTGGACTGAACTCATACAGGGTGGTTCCATAAATTCCCTTCATGCGTTTCAGGTGTCTTGCCAAATAATCTTTCCGAGTGATTCTGATGGTTTCTGGATAGTGATTGAGTCTCTGCCATGGTTTGATGCTCTGGTGTTCTGTCATCGGGAAAGGGCAATTCTTCCAGTACAAGTTCCAGTCTTCATTATCTTGCTCATGCTCATTGTATTCAATCCAACCACGTTCCAATAAAATTTCACGAACTAGTGAAGGTACACTAGCCTGGAGCCGGAAGACTAGTGGCCTGGTGTTGCCTCTAGGCTCAACTTGTTTTGCTGCTGTGGAACTCTTACTTCCTAAAAAATTAATAGGGGCAGAAACAATTCATTCAATTGATTTGAATGATGAGATCACAAAAGAAATGCTATTGCTATCTACCGTGTTTCTCATATAATAAGGCCGGGTCTTATTTTTTTTTTTTGAGTCCCGAAAAAATGGCTAGGTCATCTTTTCGGGGGTGACTTAATTCTCCCCCCTTGCATCTTCGG